AGTCCCAGCTCAGAAGTTTGCATAAAGAGTGTGCCCAGGTTCACTATGACCGGTTCCTTTGAAGCCCAAATAAACACAGATTCAATAAACCGGAAACACACAGTTATTTCACAATTTTATTGCACAACTGAAAATAAACAAAATTCCTTTAATTTAAGCACAACCCTTAGAAACCCATACAACTCACAAAGAGGGGAATTTATCAAAAACTGGAGCAGACAAAATCTGGAGCAGCTGTGCATGGCAACCAATCAGCTTTTCTCTTTCAAATCTTAAATGAACAAACTGAAGAGAGGAGCTGATTGGTTGCCATGCACAGCTGCTCCAGATTTTGTCTGCTCCAGTTTTGATAAATTCCCCCCACAGTGTCTCTCTTCTCATCCATGCAGCACTGGAGGATAATAAATGACGGTATCTGGTCCCCAAAGACGTGGGTTCTGCTTTAACCATTTAGGTGCAGGTGTGTTTTACGGTTTACTTTAGCCCAATCAGCCAAAAAAAGGTTTCTGAAGTCAGAAAAAAGATTTCTGATCGGTCACTCTAGGTTACAACCCCATGAATGTCGTAATTGCTCTTTACTCTCCCGTATGGTAAAATTCTGCTAGGCTCATAGACTTATGAAAAGTCAGATCTAAATCACCACAATCTCATAGAAGCTTTAGCATGTAAATGCAAATTCAAAAATGATTTTCAATCTTTATAAATTGGCCTTTATAAAAATAATATCTGGGGATCCTGCCATGATGGTCCTTGTACAGACACTGCCCTTTATACCATCACAACTGGCAACCGATTGTTTTCCTACATTGTCACCTTGTCACATGCGCCCTGGTGGGGACTACAAGCAGCCATGTCAACACACATAGCACTGGCATGGTCCACTATTGCCACTATCAGGGAGCCGGTACAGATCAATGATGTGCGGCCATTGCTGGGGCGAGTACATGTAGGCGGGGAGTGACTAAAAGAGGCTTGAGGAGATTAGCAGCACTGAGATGGGAAAAACAAATGAAAAGTGTATTTTTTATAATATTATGTAGAGAGTGAAGCAAACCAAGTGTCATCCAGTCAGGGAGTAGATCTACTTTAAAGAGCAACATGAAGCCAAAACATTTTTTATAATTCTGGATAAAGTGGAGAGGGATTAGAACACCTGTGAGGTTTTTATGGCTGCCTGCTGACTTATCACTGAAAGCGAAAGAAAATCCCAAATTTTGGGATTTCACCAGAACAGGAATAGATGGACAATGTTCCAATGGGGGCACACTAGTTCTGATGACCCTTCTGACCACCAGGTATTTCCCTTACTTTGGAGGGATTTCTTCTTGCTTCCTGTTGTGGTTGTCATACAGGAAGTGAAGACAACCCCCAATTGGGATACAGATGGCAAAACAAGCTGCTAGGGGTTATAATCCTCCCTTACTCTATCCAAAACTAAAAAAAGAAACAAAAACAACATTTTGGCTTCAGTTCTATATTAATTTAATCCTGGAGTACTGTGAGCCCAGGCAGTGTGATGATGCGCCCCCTAGGCGGGTACTGTAAATTATTGGCAGAATGACAGGGTGTTGTTTTACCCTTAGGAGGACTTCCAGCACTAGAAATCAGGGGAAACCACTGGAGCATGAAGAAAATAGGAATAGGAAGGGGAAAAAAAGAAAAAGTTCTTGGAATTTCAATGTAATTGTATTACTCTGAAAATGGGACAATTCAAAATGCATATATTCAGGTGAATAGAACAATATGCCATTCACTGATTCATCCGTTTTGCAGATCTGTTGAGGCTGACCCAGCACAGGGAAGGTGTGTGTGTGTGTGTGTGTGTCTCTATTAAGACTTTAATTATTTTTGTTAGAAGATTCCAGAATTTAGCACTTGTTTAACCTGCCAGTCAACTGTCAGCAAATGTACCATAGGGCAGCACTAAAACACCCCAGAAATGAGAAATAAGTATATCATGTGACTTATTCATGTACCACTTGTGATTCTAAATATGTTTTGCCAAAAGATCCATGTTACAGAATGAAATCCAAAATAACTTCCGACTGTTACAACAACAAAAAAATTATCTGCATGAAAAGCACTCAATAGGAAATGTACACATTGAATGAGTGAGAAAGCCAGCCACAGTGGAGTGTAAAGTTCACTGACAAATGCCAACATGTCTGATTCTTCCCAACAGTTTCAGACAGCTGCCAGAATTGCCCCGGGTGATGCTCGAGCATAGGAAGGTCCCCAAAAAAGTAATATATTCCAGTTTGCAAGTCCCTTCATATCTAATTTCCACTATGTCTATGGGGGCTGCCATGATTGTTACGCAGGCTGGACCTCAAACACGTCTACCTTTGTTCATCTACATTACACGGTGGATTGATGGGATTAAAGAAAGGAGGAAGATGATACTGGTTGTTTTTTGTTTTTTTTTTTGCTTTCAGGAAGTGACAAAGATATGGACATGATTGACCAGTTGCAGACAACTGATAACGTTTTTACAAAGCCAAAACCTTTCTTTTTTAGTTGTGGATAAGGTGTGGAAGGTTTTAAACCCTATCAGGTATTTGTTTTGTTTTTTGCTGCCTGTACACCACTGTGGAGATTTTCCTTCACTTCCTGTCCCTGGAGCTGCAACAGGAAGTGAGAAGAAATCTTTTCAAAGTAAATGGAATTCCCATCTTGGAGCATTTTCATAGGAGCAAGTGTCCCAATTATAGAAATTTCCATCTGTTTTTGTTCTGGTGACATCTATACAGTAGCGTCACAAGGGGGGTACGGCCCGCACCCGGGTGACACCATTGCAGGGGTGACACCAAAATGACTGACAGTCCTTTTGGTGTCACCGTCATGGACCGAGAGCCTGACAGTGTCAGGAGAGAGGAGGGGACCCGGCGGCATACCTCATCCTGCCGGGTGAACGTCCCCTCCTCTCTCTGCCGGCGTCGATCACCAAGATGGCCGCCGGCAGGTGTCAATCAGATGGTCGCGCATTCGTGATGACGTTGTCACGTGCACGCGCGATGACGACACGGCAGGGTGTCCCCCGGTCTGGAGACCGGGTGACACCCGGCCTCGGGATGCCCCTGCATTTATAAAATGTTTTTTTCCCCGTCACTTTTTGTCTCAGTGACAAAGGTCACCAGGAAAAATAAAGGGTGAATCCTCCCAGTGAGGACACTGACAATAATAAACACCTGACAGAAGGCCTAACTCTTCCCCACGCCATCCAACAATGTAAAAATAATGCCTTTTCATACACATTAAGCGGAATTGAAGTGGCTTTAATTTATTTGTTTTATGTATAACTGAAGGTTTGATTCCTCTAGTGACGTATTTACAAATCTATATTTACAAAAAAATATAAAAGAGCAAATATGTTAAAATGTAAAAATCCAATAAAAAAAATGGGGTAATGGGCACAGAAAGTGTACAGACCTAGGAACTCAGCTCAGGAATGATGGGAACACTCATAATGGGCACAGCCGGTGTACAGACCCAGGAACTAAGCACAGGGATGGTAGGAATCCCACATAATGGGCACAGCAGGTGTGCAGACCCAGGAACTCAGCACAGGGATGCTGAACACCTCATGAATGGGCACAGGAAGTGTGCATACCCGGGAACTCAGCACAGGGATGCTGAACACCTCATAAATGGGCACAGGAAGTGTGCATACCCGGGAACTCAGCACAGGGATGCTGAACACCTCATAAATGGGCACAGGAAGTGTGCATACCCGGGAACTCAGCACAGGGATGCTGAACACCTCATAAATGGGCACAGCCGGTGTACAGACCCAGGAACTCAGCACAGGGATGTTGAACACCTCATAAATGGGCACAGGAAGTGTGCAGACCCGGGAACTCAGCACTGGGTTGGTTTTGCATGAACTGGCCCTTCAAATATTATACTTTTTAAAATGATACAGTGTTTTTTTCATAAATCATTCTATTTACTTTTTGTCTCTTTGAACCTCACAGCACCGTCAAACCATATATCATCATAGGTAATTAAGAATCTAAACTAAATGGAAACAATCATCGCAATTTATTCCTATTGCTGCAAACGGGTGAGAAGAGGACATGGTGCGTTTTCTTGCCTCCAAGCACACACTCCTTCTATCTTTCAACAAGAAGACCTTCGGCTTGACTAGTGCATTAGACTTAACGTTCCCTTTGTAAACATGACAAATAATACTGAAAAGTATTTTTTTTAAGAAAACAGTGGTAAAAGGTTAAGCCTCCCAGCTTCACAAATGAAAAGGTGATTGATTATCTCTTGGGGGGATGTAACCTCTAGTAGTCATTACAGCGTTCAAGATATTGTTTACGTTTTTACTTTTTTTGGGGGGCTCCACAGATAACCGTTCTTTACGTCAATCATTACTTTCTTTACTATCTAACTTAGCCTAACGAGAACTGCTCCTAACAAATCTTGTATTTCCAGGAAAACATTGCATAGTAATGTTACTCTGGGCTGTCTGGACGGGAAGGGGTTACAATTTCACACACAGAAAGTGAACATGTCACAGTATAGCTGGAGATGGCCTCACATGTCCAGCCTCATCACTGTTCTATGACCGCCGGCCTGCTCGCAGTCCCATCTCTAATTAGAGAAAAGCAGAGAGCTGGCAGCAGGTCAAGGAGAAGCCAGCTTTTTACACCGCAAACAAAACATTTGTTTTATATCTCGCGGGCGAAGCTAGCCCTCCGTCGCTTCCCAAGACGATACCAGAGATGTCAGCTTTTGGAGACATCCAGTATTTTGTAATCACTGCACCATGTTCACTTTCAGAGGGATCCCACCGACAGCTAACGTCTGAGGGTCGGGCCACTGCGGTCATGCGTCAACTCTTAATGTCAACGTTGAGTTTGTTGAACAGCTAGTGTATATATAACAAGGCATGTCTTTAATTCTTTTATACAGGGGGTGAATACAATACAAAAATAGAAAGAAATGCCCTTTGGATCTTTACAAGGTGAACACTGCTATTATGTATATGTTTATTTGTCTTTTGCGTGAAGCATAAGAAACACAAGTAGTCCTTCAGGTTTTGCCACCTGCAGGCCAGCAGAACACTTGCTGCCTGAGCTTTAGCACTGAATTGCTCTCCAACACAGTCTGGTTTGGCCCTGCACGAAAATGAGAAACAATTCATTTTCTCTCCGAGATCAGCTGCTGTTATGGCAATTTGATGGAAACTGAGATCTTGGCCACATTTTTGAGGGACAGGGCAGTACTGGCATAAGATGCCTAGTGATTCTTCGGGCCAAATCTGTCATCTGTCCCTTCTGCGTTTGTTGCAAGTCTCCCGAAGCCAAGTCTGAGCAAGTGGTTCTAATCCTCCCCCCATGCGATGCCTCTGACCTGTGGAAGGTTAAGTAAGATGCCCCACGAGTGACTCTTACAATAAGAGAGACAAGGCTAGGTTCCTTCTTAGAAGACTGATAAAACATAAGCCTCAATCTCTAAATCCAGTGCAATGCAAACGCCGCATGCCCCAGATTGTCGCTCCACCGTGATTCGCAGCTGCCTAAGCTCCATTTCAATGATCTCACCTGGGATAGAAGGGACAGAACCTAAAGGTTCTTGAAACCCTAAATAAACAATCCAGGGTCTCAAATAAAAATGGCAACCTCCAGCCAACATGGCCGATGTAATGCCCTCCAGTTCTTCATTGCAGACATCAGGCACAGATAATCCCTTCTTCCCCCGGTCTCATTAGCTGTTGTTCTCAGCGGTGAGGTATTTGAGTGCCGTGAAGCCGTAATGACGGGACATGTCCTGCTGAAACTCTTCCTTCAGAGTCTTCAAACAGATTCTATATTGCTTGTTGGAGCGGAACTTTGTGATGTCAAAGCTTGGAGCGTGTGGCATGTGGATCATGTAGGCATTGGGTAGCACTGTAAATTCATATTCCTATAGGAGGGAAAGATTAGTATAAAGAAGAGCTTGTGAGGATTATTATAAATTGTTTTCAGAGTCAACAGAGCTTTACATTTGGGGGGATGACAAATAATTAAAGTTAAACTTCAGACATAGATAAAAAAAAACCTTAATGCAGTTATGAGTTCATAAAATAATGCATTCATTTATAAACACGGCTATTGTGAATACTTGAGGAGCATTATCAGTTTATTTTCAGAATCTCTGTCTGTGATTGACACTTAGTAAGGGCAGCACAGTGGCTCAGTGGTTAGCACTTCTGCTTTGCAGCATTGGGGTCTTCAGTTTGGCCAAGACACTATCTGCATGGAGTTTATATGTTCTTATGCTTGTGTGGGTTTCCTCCGAGTACTTTGGTTTCCTCCCATACTCCAAAGACATGCTGGTAAGTTAACTGGTTGTTGTCTTAATTGGCCCTAGTATGTATGCATATGGGATAGGGACCTTACGTTGTGTATATATACTTTTTCGTGCTCGAAAACCACTATGCATTCCTTTTAAGTGATACAAGTAATATACGTCAGACTCCCCCAAAAACCATGAAAAGATGTTTGTTGTTACCTGTGCATCCAGTTCCATAATATGAGCCACTTTGTTCCACCCAAACCCAACAAATCTTCGGTCATACTCTGGGCAGTTCCTCCTGACGACTACATATGGTTCAAAATCTGCTTCCCATTCCACCCGGTAAGGCGTTGTTGCAGTCCGCCATTTGGCAAAGTTGGTGGGGGCGTGGCCTTTTGTCCAGACATGGTACCTGTGGGAGAGAGGCCATATTTTGTAACATTAGGACTAAGGGTTTAAAGCCCCACTTTAACTGCTGTTACATTTACCCATGCAGCGTGGTTACCCTGGCACTGCATGGGTTAAATGATCATTTGGCTAGGCGGCAGGGATAAGTACAACTGCTTATCTTATTTCTCAATCATGGCAGCCACTGCTCTCATGGCATGAGCCACCGCAGGATGTGGGCGGGCCTTTGGCATCTTCACATACAATTCAGGACTGCTGGTCTTCCTTTGTACATGATGACGTCAGGGGGCTATGACCGGCTGGGCAGTAAAGTGAAGCGGCTTTGGGGGACTGGTGACATAAAGAGGTGGAAGCCTACAGGAGCGAGAAATAAGGTACGTTTTTTTAATTTATTCCTTTATCCCCTAGCCAAGCAAGTATTTAACTCATGCAATGCTGGGATGGCTTTAAGAAATATGCTGGACTTAAAACAATAGAACGACTAAAGGGTATATGTGTAGCTAGATTGTAACTTTCTACCATACATGCGGTTTGTATGAACCATGGTGGTGATGTGGCAGAGTCAAAGATCTGGGATATATGCTATATTGCCATATGATTGTGGATATGAGCTTGTTGGAAATTCCATTCCAAAACCATGGACATTAATACAGAGATGAACACCTTTCATGGCTAAATCAGCCTCCACTCTTCTGCGAAGGCTTTTCACAAGATTTTGGAGAGCATTTGTGGGAATTTGTGCCCCTTCAGCCAAAAGAGCTTTTTTTGAGATCAGATACTGATGTTGGATACAAAAACCTGGATTGAGGGCATTCAGTGGGGTTGAGGTCAGGGCAGACCACTTGTGTTCCTTCACACCAAAGTCATCAAACCATGTCTTTATGGAGTTGGCTTTCTGCACAGGGGCACCGTCATGCTGGAACAGAAAAAGGCCTTCCCAAAACTGTTGCAACAAGGTTGGATGATTATACTTGTCAAAAATGTCTTTGTGTGCTGTAGCACTAATGGTACCCTTCACTGGAAAGGCCTTAACTCAATAAATTGGAGGGGTGACCACAAACTTTTGGCTATATAGAGTATATTTCTCCAACAAAGTCCCTAAGATTCATAAGTAATCACCAATTGACTGAACATGACCACACCTACCCAAACATGACATAATAGTTTTGGGAAGGCTAACCTTTTGTTTTTGCAGAATTCAATCACTTTATTTTCTTCCAGCATAAAAATAAAAATAGAAGGCATGCACCCCCTGCTATTTTCTCCTGTAATATTCTCTATGACTTTTGCCAGATGTTGGAGGGAAGCAGCTAAGCTTCAATTTGTATTAGACTTTGACAGCAGCATCTTGCTGAGCTGTGCTAAGATCCTGGCTCTACATCAAGGTCTGGGGAGGTAAATTGTAACTCTGTCACCTCTTCCCTCTGTGCCCTGTACAGACCTCTGCTAATTACACCCAGTGCCAGGCTTGCCAGCTGTAGCCTGTGCTATGGAGGCAGCCAGTGGACACACTTCGACCCAATAACATCAGGAGGGATCGGGATGTCTGACATACAACATAACAGTTTGTGCCTTCTGGGCTGTAGCCTGAGAAAGAGAAGATGCTTTGGAAGAGAAGCCTGAGAAACGTTTATGCAGAGCCAGGAATAAATGACAGCATCTGCTGCAAATATGTTAAGTCCCAGATATTTTCCTAGGGCCAACATATTTTTGTGCTGTCACTCAAAGACGCAGCTCAAGTCTTGGTAATCTGTGCAAGTTTCCTAATCAGTGTGACAGTGTGGGTTGGGTTTTTGGCCTTACTTAGCTTTGCGCCACTTTGTATAAAGAAAAAAAAAAAGACAGGGTTAAAGACCACCTCCACCCAGAAATTATATTTTAATTCTGATTGGCAGCAGTAGGTTCAGTCCTGTTGATGAATTATATCTTAAAGGCTTCAGATCTATTACTTTCCAGCAGCAGTTTGTATCCCTGCCCACCTACAGGACCATAGTGAAGGTGTCACTCAGTTATCTGATACTTCAGTTGTATGGAGTTGCTGCTTACGTCTGGTTACATTGTGGCTTCTTATTTCTCTCAGAAACACTAATATTAAAAGGGTCAGTCCACCCAAAAGTGACATTAAGCCTAGAGGGTTCTTATATGCCTGGAATACTCCAATAGCGAAGTCTCTTTGCCATAATATCTGACTGTTTCTGTCCACCTGGGAGTTTTGGCTGTTCAAACCCACCTTGTGTGTTCCAAACTCCAACTCAACAACATTCTCCAAAACAGGAAATACATAAAACCTTATAATGCACCTTATAATGGGCACAGCAGGTGTGCAAACCCGGGAACGTATTTCAGAGATCTCATTAACAGAGTACCCAAGAGATAAAAGAGACTGTCAGGTGCTTTAAACTCTTGAGAACCTACCATACACTAACATATAAGTTATGGTTGGAATGCCTTTTAAACCAAATGCCAAAAGCATGTCAACACCCCTCCAAGTTATTGAGTTCAGGTGCACAAAACGCCATCTAAAGATATAGTTTGACATGTTTGGTGTGGAGGAACTTGAGTGTCCTGTACACAGCCCTATTAGAAGAATAGGTCACCAGCACTCCAAATATTTAAAATGAATAAGTCCTTTTTATTGGACGATAGTGTCACAAAAGATCAAACAAGAGCCGACGTTTCGGGGCCGCGCAGGGTCCCTTCCTCAAGGCAAGAGATGTGACCTGTACACAGCCCTGACCTCAACCCTACTGAACCTCTTTGGGTTGTATTGGAACACCACTTGCAAGTCAGATCTGCTCATCCAACATTAGTACCTGACCTCCTAAATGGTCCCAGATTTTGTCTGAACTCCATAATAATGCCTAGGGTTTTGGCATGAGATGCCCAACAAGCTCATATAGGTGTAATAGTCAGGTACAAATATAGTGTAAATGATGATAGCACGCTTGCCTGATATATTGTAAAAAGAAAAAACAAGAAAACTGGGTAATCAGAGGGTGACATTTCTGTTATGGCCATGAGAGAGAAATGGATATATAAAAACAGCAAATAAATCTAATAATAAAGGAACAAGTAGGCACCTAACTAGCTACAAAAACAGTTGTAAAAGGAATATTTAATTAAATGTTTCTGAGCTCAATTACTTTCACAGAAGCACAAACGGATGAGTATACAGCCACGCTGATATGGACTGCTTGTTAGGAGGAAGTTTTGCCATAGAATCTTGTTCAGTTCTATGCGATCTACAGCAGTACCTCCGCTAACAACCACTCTGTCTTGGGAAGATTGATTTTATAAAAAGGTTTAGACCTGGCATAACCTTTAGGCCTCCCTTAAAGCCAAAGAAGTGAGACCTGTATATCCCTCTTTCAGACTAAGTAGAACTTAAGTATCTGTTTTTTGGAGAACCTTTTTAAAGCCATATATTAACCTGAAGGTGAATAGAGTCCCCATATCCAGCATGGACAACAGTTCTGCTTTAGACTTGGGGAAGGACAGCCGGTAGCGAAGAGTCTCGAAGGCTGGGATGATCAAAGCTTTCTTGGTGTTCGCCATATCTAGTTGCACAATGGATTTCCTGCAATGACAGTTGAAGAGAGGAATTAATATGCAGCACAATAATCTTTCACGCAAGCTACAACCCAACTCTGATTAAAAAAAATATTTCACTGCTCTTTAGATACTAGAGGGATCAGATCCCTCTCTGACACCATGTAGCTCTTTGTGGTTCTATCATCCTTAATGACAAATCCTGACAGCAATCAAGCAGCAAAAGAAAAACACTCAGGCCATTGGATACATCAGATATGGCCCTTTCCTCTGACCTAAGATCACGATTTATGTTTCTTTTTGACCTTCAAATCATACATCTGGTTACAAACTCGGTTGGATCTCCCAAATATAATGTTCAAAGCAGGACTTGGGCAGGAGGTGATCTAATAAATCAACTAACCTCTCTATGCTAAAAGAATGGGCATCACTGTTTATTTTTAACGAATTATATTTGCCCAGAAAATCCATGGTTTGTGCCTGGCCCTCCAGGTCTATGCCATCTGTAATATCATAATAGTGGGCAGTACAGAAGCTGGAGGCTATGTAATAATCTGATATACAAGCACGTGCCACTGCACAGCAATTTAGCAATCCGCACATCAAAGGATAACAATATTGCTCCTGCAGATGTATGCACATTGTTACTGTTACCATCCTAGGACAGGAAGTCCTTTTTTTGGTGGGATCAACAAGTCAAAAAGCAAGTCCTTCAATGGCTCTACTAGAGGTTAGTACCTAGTACTTTTTTTAGTTTACATACCCCCCTTACCCCACGCACAAAATATTCCTGACTTTATTTTTGCTCAAAATATTAAATATATGGCAAAACTGATCGATCTTACTGAAAATGTGCCGTCATCTTTACTGTACAAACTATGAAGAAACGACTAAAAATAAACTGTGATTCACCAGAGACGTGCAGTTCAGGTCTCTGCCACAAGTGGGCGCTCTGTGCTAAGGGAATGTACAATATCGACATACAGTTTACTTGCACTAGACACATGGTTATATAATTGTATTTTCCCAAAGGGCTTAAGATCAAAGACACACTGTGCTGAATCGCGTAGGACTGGCCCGAGACGATATTCTGAGGATGTGTTTTGTCTGTTCTAACTCTGATTTCAATATGTGTTTACAGACAAATTATTGGAAAACATCAATTTCCAGAGTAATCCTTTGCTAATACCTTATTACACTCATTTTGTTCTGCCTACAAAGTGTCAAATCATCCACTGGCAGGCTACATTACATTATGGCTCTTTCTTTGACTTCATAAGAAGGAGGTGAAATGCAAGTAATAAACTGGGTCTTCCATATCGTACTGCTGCAGCCACTGACAGCTCTGTCGCTTGCCCTCGGAACAGCGGGCTGTACCTAGAACTTCAAGCATTAAACATTATGCGATCCATACTTGGAACTGCAACCATTGCCGAGGGCTGTATGAGCTCAACACCTAGAACTGCATCCAAGGCTGAGGGCTGAATGATTTCCACACCTACAAATGCAAATAGGGCAGAGGGCTGTTTGAGATCCATACCCAGAACTGCAACTTGGACAGAGGGCTTTATGAGTTCCATAGCTAGAACTGCAATCTGGACAGAGGGCTGTAAGCGGTCCATATCCAAAACTGCAACTAGGGCAGAGGGTTATTTAAGGTCCATACTTAGAACTACAACCTTGGCAGAGGGCTGTAGTAGGTGTATAGCCCAAACTGCAACTAGAGCAGAGGCTACTCTGCATTTCTTTCAGTGCTGTCCACATGTATGGGGACATAGGAGCTGGGACATGTGATCATTGCAGAAGGGGAGCTGACTTTAGATTAGCTAATGTTTTTCTTAAAAAGATCCTGTCACCCTGACCATTCAGTGCAATGTGACTGTGTACGCACAAAGCCCACCCCAGACCATCTTATACCAACCTACCCAACATGAAATGGAGGGGCATGTGATCTCCTGCTTTGATGCAGTTCATGGACCTAACAGCCAATCATCACTGTGACATGACATAGGGGCGACCTTCAATGCTATCTCTAAGCTCCAACACCAGCCGACACTGTGGCAGCTGGGCCTGATGTTAGAATTACGTGGTCATGGGTATGGGCTTCATACATGGTAAAAGGGCAAAGTGACAGGGTCTCTTTAATCTACATGAAGAAGAGTGTTCACAGTCTTTTATGGTAAAATAGGAGGATTGCTATCGGGAGAGCTAAAGGATGTGCTGCAGAACGAATATAAAGAGAACACCCAAAATGAAGGGAAGATTTGCACACACAGACACTTCATCCCCTGCTGGCTATTGAGTGCTAACTCACTGGTCATCAGTGCACTTAGCCTGCATTACCTGATGCTCTCGTAGAGTCCATACATCGGTAGAAAGTCTATGTCTGACAGGAACATGTACGGAGTGCTGACGTGTTTCATTGCTACGTTCCGCAGGAGGTTGACCGGATAGAACTGCCCTTCTTTGTACACAATATGGTAGCCCACATTTCGCCGGTTGAGCAGCACCTCAGAGCCCTGTGCGTAGCGGAGGAACTGCTGAGCCTCTGCATCCGAGAGGTACAGAGCCAGGCTGATTGGGCCCTCCCAGTGCTTGCAGATGGCTTCCAACATTTGGAGTCTGCAAAGACAGATAACACAATGAGCCAAAGTATATGGAGCAGTTAAAGTGTCTAAACTCAACAACAAAATGGTATATATAGCAGCTTACTGGACGTTATATGTGGTGGCTGCATTCGTTTTTAGCTTGTTCCTTTTATTTCCACGTGGTCAGCCTGCCACTAACACACTTCGTGTCCTAGGTGTCCTAGGGTGACAATGCTTACATACTGTTTCTTTAGAGGAACAGCGTTGTTACCCTAGAACAGGAAGTGTGCTAGTACTATAGAACACATCCCCCTCCTCTTTTCATTACATAGAAGGGAGGTGTTCTAGAGTCCTAACACACTTCCTGATAGCTGTATTTGAGTGGGAGGGAGCAAATAAGAGAAGTTCATTGTTAGGGTTTACATATACTTTAAATCAGACATCTGGATTAATTACAAGCAGGAACAATAACTAATAAACATTTGACTTTTGACTTCTCTGCCTTACAATGGGACGGTAGTCTAGGAACTGACTCTATTAAAAATTCTTTGTATGTCCACCCCTTCAAGAAATCATTGTGACTGACAGCACAGTTTACAACAAGTAGAATAAAGTAAGAATGTATTACATCATGAAAGCAGAAAGTTTTTTTCTGGTTTCGAGCAGCTCAGCTAGAACAGAAGCAGTGGTCACATAGAGGCCCTATAGTGAATTTTAGTGGTTTAGGGTCAATTTTTAATTTAGCTGTTTTTTTTTAAAGTTTATTATTGCATAATGGAAGTTTTACATTCCAATTGTTAGGATTTATGACTCATTTTTGCTTGGGAATGCCCTAAAATATGTGAAAATGCTTCCTTCTGCTCATCCCCTTCAGTGCTCTGTGGCGGCAGAGCTGAGTATCAGCCACACCCTTCAGGACAAGTCTCCTCATACAGATTTGCATTGCAGATGAAGAGTGGGGGCGTGTCTGACCAGGTCTGGTACTGACTGCAACAGAATGCACGGCGTTGGGGAACTATTACTGCCTAACTAAATAGATTCACAAATTCCACCAGTGCCAAAGATTAGTAGTCAGACATCAACATCAAATACATCCACCAGGTTGCGGCACTTCAGCGTCAGTCAGAGGACTTCACTGATAATCTACAGAAACATACAAGCCCAAAGAGCGCCTTCCCTGGTGCAATAATCCTTTATTTTAGGGATAATAGAAGAGCGGGTGTACTCACAATGACAAGTAAGCAAGAAGCCTTGAAAAAGCACTAGCCCATGAAGTGCTTGTAGATGCAGGCATCAAATCTCAAACAGCACCGGCTGACAAACCCTCCGGTATGGTTGGACACACATGCAGAGGCTGGACGTGTTCTGCTCTTATATTATCATATGTTCTTCACAGTAAGATCAGTTAGGGTCTGGAACTCACTGCCACAGGCGGTGATTTCAGCAAAGAATGTGGAATTGTTCAAGAAACTTTTGGACGATTTCTTAAGGGACCGTAATATACAGGGGTACAGGCAATATACAGGGGTACAGGTAATATACAGGGGTACAGGCAATATACAGGGGTACAGGCAATATACAGGGGTACAGGTACTCCTAGAATGAGATCCTAATAGGTTGGACTTGATGGACTAATGTCTTTATTCAACCTCAAATACTATGTAACTATGTAATTTTATATCTTATATTATCCCTATAATAAAGGATTATTGCATTAGTGAAGGCACTCTTTGTGCTTGTATGTTTCTGCTACTGCCTAACTGCCTACTGGACTGCACAGTCATATTAGGGAACCCTGCACAGCTGCTGGTACCGGAACGTGAAGGTAAACTATGAAGATTAAGATAGTTAGTGCTATGTCTGATCTAGTTCTGTGATTTTAATATAGCTTTATGTTTTTAAACTCTTCTTTTACATCTGCTCTTTTTGCTATCAATATGCAAACTTTGTTTAACGAAAAAGAGTTTAACACATGATAAAGGATTCCCAGAGCACTGTGGGTTAGCTGCAGAGACATCACAGCAGATGCTGCACGCTTTGAGGCTGTGGTTTATCTGAATGAAATGTTGGTTGGAGATGTCTGATAAAGTGTCATTAGGGTCATTCACTTTCAGATTGGGCTATTGAGTTATGTTACAACAGGCTTTACAGAAAGTTAAGGGCCTTGAAAATGTGAAAAAGAGTCTACAGCTCTCCCTACTAGCTCACAATATATTTTATATATTACTTTTTTTTAGTCCCAAGCATAACAAATAGAGCCACTTTTAATTTATTACATTCTTCCAAATGTGCCAGTTGGTAAGTTGATAAGTCTGAAGTTACTACTACTTCTAGACACTGATGCATTTAGATACTGATACTGACCTGTCCATGGAGAGCTGGGCCACCAGTGTGACATCTGTGTCGTCTGGCGCTGGCTCGTATTCGTAGTGCAGAAAGTAAAGGTGAGTGCGGTGGACTGTGAATCTCTCTCGCCTGAACTCATAGCACAGGTCGTCCTCGTCCAGCTCAGACAGCTGTTTCTGGAGCTGCAGAGAAAAAAAAGAGAAAATGATCATCATTCGTCACACAAACATGTTCCACAAAGCGGTCAGATCTTTGTATGTGGTGCAGTGAAAGCTTCTTATCATTGGAAGATCTGATTATCACCTCCTATGGGGGGCTTGTACTTCCCAATACCTGGTCCCCTTGAGGCAGTGCCCCAATAGCAGTGGTTGGGCTGTGTATAGTGTCCTATAATATGCTGGTTTTCTGGTTGACAAGAACTGATGCCTTACCTGAAAGCAGAAATTCAGGCTAAACAATTATTGTCCAAAAACATGAACCATCTTCTTTGAATCCTGAGGGTGTATTGATAAAATGTTTGCAGAGTGAACAGCTTTGCAAACATCTAAATGTTTAATTTGCAGCGCATTATGGCCACTGGATGGATCCGAGGAGCCCAGGAAATTCCTATGATCTTTGGCTCCATCTAGTGGTCATAATCAGCTGTGACTCTAAAATGTGGATGGTCACAAAGCTGTTCACTCTGCGAACGTTTTATAAATACGCTCCTTGGTGTCTTGTTTGCATTTCTCCCTGATCTGTGTAGTAATCCAGCATGGAACTCCTTCTCCACTTTTCCTTATACAGCAGCTTCCTGCAATAAGCCTTTTCAGAAGTAAAGGTAAAAAATAACAGTTTAAAAAACGAGGCTAAACTGGTTAGAACAGCCCAGACGTGTCTGCCACTTAGACGCCTCCAGGTGTGGACGGCATACTCAAATAGACAAACTTCTGAAAATTCCCAGTTTAGCCTCAAGCTGGCTTGACACTTCCGCACCTCCCTACTGACCAGCACGGCCATCCATCACAGTGAAGGGTTGAATAGGGAAGGGTGGGCTAGCTTGGGTCTAAACCAGAAAGCCATGAATAGTTTTGGAACCTACATACCAGAAATTGAAGTGTCCAGGGGAAGTGACAGGTACACTTTAAAAAAACCCGTCTATGCTGAAAAAACTGAAACAGATACGTTACTGCTACATAAGCCATTTTTGCAATTCAATGCAATTCATTTAAAAATAATCTTTCCATTTCCACCCAGAGCCAGCCATGATTTCCTCGAGCAGACAGAAAACTCATTTCATTCTGTTCCCTTTGTAAAGATGTCCTCGTCCCTCTGCTCATGTAACCGGTTAACTCCTTTCCCAGATTTCTGAACAGAGGTTTAGGCATCTCTGGTGATCATTTTAGATTTAGCTGGTAAACCTGGCCATATACTGGTCCAATGTCAGCCGAGTCTGCAGGATTTGAGCAGTGTGGCCCTATCAGGACCCACACTTTAACGACATTTGATTTTTCTCATTCAACTTTTGTCGAAGGAGCCAGTCTGAAAATTCGGCAGTCACTGTTTCGGTATTCTGATATGGACAGATACAATAGCTCAGTGGGAGTAATTTCCCTATCCATGCTAACATCAAAAGTTCTTTCTTACTTAGCCCATAAGGGCTTCATGTATAAAACGTCCGCCTGGTGTATACTCAGACCAGGGGTAGCCAAACTGCGGCCCTCCAGCTGTGATGAAACTACAAGTCCCATTAGGCATTGCAAGTCTCTGACAGCCACAGGCATGGCCTACTAAGGCAGACGCATTATAGTATTTGTAGTTTCCCCAGCTGGAGGGCTGCAGTCTAGCTATCCCTGACTCAGACGGATACCGTTTGCAAGGAACTAGTGCCCCCTAGATGGCACTGATGAGTATAGGAATTCCTATACTCATTGGCACAATCTAGGGGTGCTAGTGCCGTGTGAATGACATCCCCCCAACCATATGGCGGGTGGAAGTTTCATACATAAAGACCCTAAGTGTATGGCCAGCCTCTGGACTGTGTATTTCAGCTGTCCCCTCTGAGTTCAGCTTTAAATTGTCATCACAGTTTTTAACTTGTCGCCAACCAAACATTTCTCTTCTTTGATGTTTTATGCATGGAGAAAGATCTGCTTAAATCTGCAATAACACATAGAGGCAATGGATTCATGGTTGTTCGGACCCAGAAATATCCATCGCTCTTCTTCTGTGCATAATTACCAAGGAAGACTCGGATAAGGCCATTTTTTTTTTTTTTATGTTGCATAAGTCGGCAATTAAACTCATCTGAACTTCCCTGCGTCAGCCCAGAGCAACGTCTCGATCGGTTGTCATCACACACTGAAAGCAACACATGAAAAGTAATCATCTCTCACATACAGGGGCCTATTTATAGAAGCCTGAAATCACTACACCTGTTATTTCTAAAGATGAACTCCGGGCACAAAAATGTCACTGAAATCCGTTCCTCAATAAGCACAAAGGATATAAATCGTGTGCACCAAACTCAGATATCACCGGCATCATTTCCAGAGGCTCCTTTGCATGGCCATTGGAGGAGGGGAGAGGAGTGAGGGAAGGAGGACAAGAGACTGTGAAATTTCTTTTTTTTTTCCCCTTCTCTTTTCTTTCCAGTTCGTCTTGTTTGGGGTTTTTTTGTGTGTGGTTTAGGGTTGGGAGGGATTGTGTTGTCGTTTCCCTTCCTTGCTTTTTTTTTAGTTGAGAATGGTGGAATTGGTTTTAATACCAATGGAAAGGGGAATTCATGGCGGCTTCTGACCGGAACGAACTGCATTGCGGCCGTCTCACTTTTTTGTAGCGCCGGAGGAGGAGTGGCGGGCCATTGAAGTGAATGGCACCGTAGCCACGCCCTCCGGTCGCAATGCGATTGCCCGCATGGGATCGCAAGGCACATTGTGCCTGCAGTCCGGTGCGATCAAAATAGTGCTTGCAGCTTTATGATCGCACCAATGTGTCTTGCGATCCCGTGCGGGCCATCGCATTGCGGCTGGAGGGTGCCATTCACTTCAATGGCCACCGCGCCCCCCTCCTGCCCCACTTAAAAGTGAGCCGGCCGCAATGCAAGGCAGTGCATTCTGGCCAGAATCGGGCCGGAACGCACTGCAACTGGTGTGAACGGGCCCTTAGGAAGAAGTTATGAATATCTTTCTCTTCTGTTTTTGATTGGATTTCTCCCTGGGAGAGTCTTTTAATAGGATGTTTACATGTTTATGTGTCTGTATTGTTATATATAGAAACAAGAAGAATTATTATACAAAAGAATGTTTTGTTGGTGTTCAGATTTTCCCCCTTGTTTGGTGTCAGCTCACTAGTGCGGGTTTCTATGTGTAATGACTATAGTAGTAATACAAACTTGACAGGGATTCTCACCTTTCATATAAAAAGGTTTTATTTTTTATACAGGGTCCTATGGCACCACCCTTGTGTGTGTGTGTGTGTGTGTGTGTGTTAGTAAGCTGTGTGTGTCTCCACAAACACACAGGCATGGAAAGTCAAGACTCTGCCCTCTTCTTCCTCCCCCCTCCTCCAAACTAGCAGATAGATGGCTGCTGAAGACTTGTCCCTTGTGATTTTGTACTAGACAGGAAGATCAGGGAAGCCGAGCCGAGAGAGTTGGAGCTGCACTTTGTTCAGCCTGTAATGGGATTCACACAACTGGACTAGAGAGTATCACCGCTGTTAACAGCCAACATCCTGTGTAACAACCTCAACGCCACCCTTTTCACTTTCAATCTGTTCTTCTGTGTTGCCTATGTATATCCCATTTAAGCTCCCAGTACATGCAATATGTTAGGTCTTTAGCACTGTGCACACAATAAAGCCTGATTGGCTGTCATCGCCCATCGGCCTGACTGGTGTACAGGGGATTATGGGAAGTTAATATAAAAATTGATCACAAGCAGCTATTTCCTCAGTTTTTAGCAACACTAGCTAATGTGTCACCGTTCATGGACGGGTTAATGTAGGCTGAATGGCTTTTGATCAGCTGTGCGTTGTGTGCGGTGCCCCGTCTGCTGCATAGAGCGACAGGAAGCAGAGTATAAAATCACCCTGTCATGAATATGCATTCTTGCCATGTTGCTGAGACGCCAGGGGGCCACAGGGCACGGCGAGCAGATGGCATCGTACAGCCTCGGCTCTGACTTTGTGTAATAAAATTTCAGACGTTGCAGCTGGTCAGAAGGTGCATTTGTTAAGGCAGCGATTTGTCTGATAGCCTCGGCGGGGCCGGCCAGTAACAGGAAATTCACAGCATGTCCAGGGCAACCCGAGAGACAAATGTGATCAGCTACAAGTGCTGCTTAATTAAATTGTTACAGCCGAGGAATATCATTAAGACGGATACTCGGGAATTTCCACCCTTAGAATGGCGCTGCCAGTGGCATGGTCAGTAAATGGCCTGTGACAAAAAAACGCTAAGACCGACAAAACTTTGCCTTTAGCTTTGGATACGATCTGTTTTTTATTGCCGGGTTCAAGGAGGAAAGCACCAAGTTTAGATTGTATGAAGTCCAGATTTCATTTGCATTCATAGAAAGCCAACATGTTCCGAGAAGATTAAAGGGTCCCGGCTCCTTCGATCAGTTGATCATCGAGAACCGGCTGAAATTCGTATCGTACATGGCCAGCTTTAAAAGGGAACTATGGGGTAACCTTTTTATCCCATAGTTCTCTTTAGGGTCACGGTAGGACATATACTAACCGTATACTAACATATACTATCCTCCCGTGACCCAAAGCTAAGTATATAGCAAGCTATATACTGGGAGAGCCACAGCCGGGATGGATCCCGACAATACTGTTGAGATCCACCCAGCTGGCAGACTGACAGCAGATTTTGCCTATCTAGAGGCAGAGCCAGCTGTGCCCGTCCCCTCCCCGTCCGTTTCTCCAGTCAGCGCCGGAGGACCGGAGATGGGAGAATCCCTGTGGGGAGCGGTGACTTACAGTGCAGGGAGATGATCGGAAAGTGAGCGAGCGCTGGTATGTGTTCACTCACTTCCGGATCCATAGAGCCGTCGTGTGACAGTTTCATTGTCACACGTCGGCTCGAACTATGAAGGTCAGTGAATATCACTCACCTCATAGTTCTCCTTTAAAGGTTCTAAAGTCCTTGCATTCTAGTTCTGGGTTTGTGACTCAAAGTATTAAAGTGGAGTTTGGGATGGAGTGGAGAGGAGTTGAAACCCTGACAGGTTTTTGATTGCTGTCTGTGTCCCCATTAGGGAGATTTACACTTTCTATATTCAAGTAAGGGAAAATCCAAAAAGTTGTCATCAGAACAGTAACAAGGGAATCTTCTAATGGGAACACTTGTTGCAGTGACAACTCTCTAAGAGGGGATTTCCTTCATTATGGAGATTTCCTCTTAATTCCTGTTGTGTCTACAGAGCAGGAAGTGAAGGGAAATCTCCTCAATGGGCAAAATAACCTCCGACAGGAGATGTAACCATTTCCTAATTCATCCAAAATGATAAAACAAATGTTTAGGCTTTAAATACGCTTTCAGTCTAAGTTTCTACTTACATTTTCACTGTTGATGTCGGCTTCACTAGGGCAGCCAAAGAGCTCCCTCCGCAGGAGGTTCCCGTCATACTCCAGGAAGGTCAGGTAGAGGTTGCGGAAGAACTCCACATGTTTGTTTTTCACCCGGAGCTTTTTCGGAGAGTTCCAGTGGATTACCTGTGACAGTAAAATAAAAACTGAAGATTTACTGACATTATACTTCTTCTCCCTAGGTGAACATCCACAGGGGTGCAGCATAAGTTAGACCATCTCTGAACATGTTCCTCTGCTACTAGGAAACAATTGTATTTGTTCTATCCCTGCCCAGAATTAGAATTTAACCTTCAGGGCAAGCAGTCCAGCTATGGACCTCTTAGTCCACAAATAATGATGTCATTGCTATTGATAACTTATTTATGAATCTAATGTTTGCATTGAGACAGACTTTCACAGACATACACTATAAAGTAGAAATCCAGAAATCTTCGGGGTAACAAGCAGTTTAGTGTAATAGGGCGTATGCCACCCCCTGGATTGCTGGCTGGTCTTTACAATTTACACTTTTATTCATGCTGGGAAGTATAACTTTTACGATATATTTCCAGCGTGATAGAAGAGCTATGGCTCTCCTGGAAACAACCCACACTGCCCGCCTCTATTCTCCTATTCTGTCCATTCACAGAATGCTAAGGCGTCCATTTAGGGCCACTCATGGCTCTGCAAACCTCTGCGATTGTTTGTTCTGTGTGAATGGGTGCACAAAATAAATGTCCTTGTTATATTTTCTTTATAAGTCGAATGTATTTTCAAATGTATTATGGCTGCTAGATGGAGCTGAGGAGCATAGGAGATAAGTATTTTTTTATTTCTATGCTCTTCAGGCGAGACCCGCACGCAGCTCTGGTGAGACGCCACATGCAGCCCTGGGGAGACCCGGATAGAGCCCTGGGGAGACCGTACAGCTCTGGTGAGACCACACAGCCCTGGGGAGACCCGGATAGAGCCCTGGGGAGACCGTACAGCTCTGGTGAGACCACACAGCACACAGAGACCACATGCAGTCCTGGAGAAACCGCACAGCCCTGGTTACACTGCACAGCACTGGTGAGACCGCACAGCCCTGGTGAGACTGCATACAGCCCTGCTGAGACTGCACACAGCCCTGGTGAGACCCTGTACAGTCTAGTCAGACCCTGCACAGCCTCCTGAGACCTCGGTACAGCCCTGGTGAGACCCTGCACAACCCTGGTCAGACCCTGCAGAGTCTCCTGAGATGCCGCACAGCCCTGGTAGGCAACACAGTATGTAGCTTCATATTATTCTGCATTGCTATATAATGTATTGCTGGGGTTTTTAGTCCTCTATCACTGGTGGCATTCTGCATTGCTGTATAAAGGATTGCTGGGATTTATAGTCCTCTTTAGCTGGTGGTATGCCGCACTGCCAGTGTGGCTTGTGTGTGGGAAGGTATAACAAAAGCCAGCATGAATAAAAGTATAAGTCAAGCAAGCATTTCCGAAGGTGATATACACCTTATTACACCTATTTGTTACCCAGCAGATTTCAAATAAGCTTTTTTTCCTGCGGTTTATATATAACTATGTGTTTCTTTTTTGTGTAGGTTTGTGCTGCAGCTGGAGTTAGGATTATATCACAGAAAAATCCTTTGATCTGCAGTAACAGTCTGCACCATTTTAACAGTGTTATAAAGTTATAGATTTGTATTTATTAAAATTCACAGAGCGAATCACCCAGCATAACTGCATGTACAGTCGATCTGTGCAAATGGGGGGAAAAAATGAATATTATATTATATAGCATAATTTCTTCTTGTGGCCAGATGTAATTCATTCATAAGATTAGAGTGAATCAGAAAAATACCATATTATGGCCACTAGATGGAGACAAGGATCAGAGGAAATAAATACCTATTGTCTATGATATGCAGCGCCATCTAGTGGCCATAATATGGTAATATCCTGATTCACTCTAATCTTATGAATTAATTACATTCGTAGGACGAATGGCTCTGCAATTTTGTTTATAAATGCACTCCATAGTGTTTATGTATATTCTACCGCATATAAAGTGCTACAAATCCAATTAAAAGTTAAAAGTGGCAGTAACAGCACATAAAACGGTATAATTAAAAGAGCACAAGAAATGTCTTTCATGAGTAATTTAAATGCCTAAATATTGAAATTATATAATAAAGTATTTCTAGATAACCCAAGATACTATGTGATACATTTTCTAAAGTGAAGCCGTTGAGTTTTGCTTTAATGGAGAGAAAAAGACAGGGTGTAGAATAATTAGGAACAGGTGTAGTCACATAAGGTGACAACTTGTCTTATAATGTGACTACATCGGTAGTCAAGGAGCTCCACTTCCTGCATACCACGGAATAACTTCTCCTTAAGCAGAATACAGCTGTAATGTCATTAAACAAGCAAGATTTTGTACATTTGACTTGTTAACCTGTTCATACTGCCATCCACCTCTGCTAACTCTGGTAAAGGATGAATGACAGCAAGATTCATCTGGATGAGCCAAATGGTCCTGCTACACAGAATTTTATGGGATGCAATGACATTCTGGCAAGGGGGAGAGAGACGGAGCTGCTTTTCTTGTGATCAATTACTGAGGCCTGCGAAGGGAGCACCTGGGACGGATTCCAATGCAGGACTTTGGAAAGGTATTCCGCCACCATTAAAATAATGATACGGCAGAGCAGCGTGCTCAGACAGCAGAGTCGTGATCTACAGGCTCTCCAGGACCAGCACTGCTCCCTCTGCAGTCAACCTCCTGCCTGTCCTGAGATTGATGCAGGGCGCCGCCATCTTGGATGTGATGCCAGCAGGCCCAGCGGACTCAACTGACAACCTATAGCAGGGGTAGCTGAACTTTATGTATCTGACACTGGAAGTCATGTCTGTGGCTGTCAGAGTCTTGCAATGCCTAATGGGATTTGTAGTTTCACCACAGCTGGAGGGCCAGAAGTTCTGCTCTATAGTATTCCCCTCCATTTCTCCTCCCCCCAGGTGCTTAATAATAGGTTATGTAAATAGGTGAGGGGTGGAGGAGCTGGATCAGCGTAGACAGTAAAGGAACACCCCCAGAAGAGGAGAAGGCTATAATGTGCAAGGAGGGAGAACTCAACTTTTCTAGCAAGTTCAAAGACGCATTGCAATAAAATAAAATTATGTAAATGATTAATACTGCAAATAAGAATTTCTGTGCTTTTACCTTCAGTTTTGAAGTTAGTGACAGGGTCACTTTAAAGGCTCCATCTAGTTGTTTAAAGTTGTTTGAGTGCTTTACAAATTTGTTGCCAAAGCTTGCTGTACACACTGCTCTTACACAAGCTGAAGCCCTTGTGTGAACAAGGCCCTAGTAATGCTGAAACCAAAACATTCTTATCCATTGTGATCAGTGCCGCCCCTATAATGAGGCAGTTGCCTCAGACGGCATCTCCCTGGGGGGCAGCCACAGTGTCCTAGGACCTGTGACGCTCTGTGTGGCTTCCCGCCCAGCTCACTGACATCACCAGTTACCAGGAGCTAAATGGAACGTTCTGCCGTTTGACCTGCCGAGTAACTGGCAACCAGTGACTTCAGTGAGCCGGGTGGGACGCTGGGCACAGCCCCCCAAAGCAACTCAGAACTACAACAACCGAACACCCCCAGTGGCCATTCCCTGCCAGCACCCTAGACACCCCCCCCCCGCCCTAATAACGAGAGCAGATTGCCTCAGGTGGCAAATAGAGACAACCCTGCTTGTGAAGCATTAAAGATAAAAGTCCACCAAACTGTGTTTTTTCCAATGCATCACTCTGTAGGTCCCATTCCAGTCAATTCCGTGGGGACCTTTTAAATCAAGGCGCTTAGAACCCAGAAAGAAGATAGAATTCACCTTTATTTGTTATTTTTAAAGAAAAAAAAATCCACCATAAAACAGATTTGTGAGCTTTCACATTTGTGTAGGTTTCCTCGGGTACTCCAGTGTCCTCCCACACGCCAAAGACAAGCTGGAAGGTTAATTGGCTCCTCTCCAAAATTGTCCCTGTATGTATGCAGATAGGTAGGGACCTTAGATTGTGAGCTCCTTGAGGGCAGGGACTGATGTGAATGTTCACTATGTAAAGCGCTGCGTAAATTGTCGGCGCCGTACAAATATCTGTAATAATGATAAAAATAATTCAAGCTGCCATGAAAAAAAAAGTCCCTGGTATATTACGCCGGGCCTCTAGATGGCAGAAGCGATCCCCGTATGGTTCGCTTTCCCCGAATCATGAAAAAATGCAACTAACCTTCAAATCTCCCTCATTTATCTGTAAGTCACTATTATACAGAGCTGTCAACCTCAAGCTGCAAGACTGAAATCGGAGAGATTTGGGCTGTTTGACCAAGAAAATTAAATTCATTTAACCTCTTCGTGGCTGGGAGCCAGAGGAGTTTGACGGAACGTGGTTATTTGATCAGTCAGCTCTTGTCAACCTGTATTGATGGCTTGTAATTAGTACAAGCTGATGGTCGGTCAAACGTTCGACCGGAAAGAAAAAAAAATGTCTTCCGGGAATAGCGCGGCTGAGTTTCACAAATTCTGACTTATTTGGTAGCTTGTTTCCTGAGACCTCCGTTATTTCTGTACAGAGAAATTTTCTGTTTTACTTTAAAAAAAATACTGAGAGACTTGTTGACAAGATACAAGATTCTATTTAACAAGTGTTCCTCTACCTTGTACATCAGCCATTATCACTTTCTTCAAAGAACACGGTGTACAGTTCGTGATAAACAAGATACCAGCAAGTCTTCAAAATTTATACCAGAACACCCAATGCTGGAGTTCAAGTATGAAAGTGTATCTAAAGCCAACCAGCCAAGTCCATCCCCTGGCTTCTTATATACCTTGGACACTCCAACAGTGATAGCATCCGGCCATAATTCATGGCTCTCTTCATGTCCACCTGGGAGTTTTGGGTGTTCCCAGCAACCCTTCATAATGGGCACAGCAGGTGTGCAGACTCAGGAATTCAGCACAGGTGTGGTGGCAGCCACTCATATTAAACACAGGAGGTGTGCAGACCCAGGAACTCAGCAATGGGATGATGGGAAACCCTCATAATGGACACAGCAAGTGTTCAGAGCTAGGAACTCAACACAGGGATGATGGGAGTC